CAAGCACGCATAACATATTTTGGATATTACTTTAAGGCTAAAATGTATATGATTTTTTTTATGCACACGATAACACAAAGAGATAGGAATAATATTCACCAATATTCGTACATTAACATGTATAGCAACATTTTCAAACGAGCTAGTCAATCATGTTTACCTACTGACAACGCCGTTCAGTACATGCAAATATTGCGCTTTCGAATTGGTTTGTGTTGTTCACTAGAATTACGTGTTCGTGCACCTAAACATTTTAAAAGACAATGTCATTACCTATACCATGTATACTTTTTCATGTCTAAGAAATATTCGTCCACCGTCGCCTTCCTTTTTATCGATCAGTAGTACGATGGTGATTGTTCGATGTGTCAAATTGACACATTGAACCATCACCTAACAATAGCTAAGTACATTCTTATATCTAGTGTTGTCAAATCAAACAGTTTTGCATACTAGTAACCCGTTACTCGAATAATCTTTCGACCGGTTAACCGGATAACCGATAGTCATAATAAAACATTGTTGAACTAAACTTATTATGCTATACGAATGGAATGCTATAAGAATTTACTTAGTGCTATGCTTTAAGAAATTACTCTTATATCATAGCACTTGGTCCATTCGTATAGCATAGCACTAGGTCCAGTTTTATAGAACAGTACTAGGTACATTATTATAGTAATACACTATGTACATTTATTTACATTTTAGAAGGCTGCAAACTTTTACAATGTATGGAAACCCCAATTTTAAAGACGACGTAATAATGGACGTAGGAGCCTGTTGGTCAGTGGTTGTTGTTGTTGATGTGGTTCATAAGTGTTTCTCGTTTCTCGTTTTTATATAGATTAGACCGTTGGTTTTCCTGTTTGAATTGTTTTATACTAGTCATTTTGGGACCCTTTATAGCTTGCTGTTCGATGTGAGCCAAGGCTCCGTGTTGAAGGCCGTACTTTGACCTATGATTGTTTACTTTTTAAACAATGTGACTTGGATGGAGAGTTGTCTCATTGGCACTCATACCACATCTTCTTATTTCTAGTAAATACTTTGAAAAACGCTTTACTCAATTTTATTTCAAGTGAATTTAGATAGACATTGTGTAATCTACATTTCTACAATTTAAAAACAAACTTCTGAACATCAAATGTCAGAAGAGGATTTGTCATCAGTTTACGATGACGTTTTGATATAAAAAGTTTACTTGCAATTACTATAACTATATACATTTTTCGTGAAATGATGTATTATAGAATTAATTTATGGAAAAACAATTAATATTTAACATGTGTAACAAGCAGTACAACTAAGATAAGTTAATTATGTATATTTGTTTTATACAATTGATGTCTCAAATCTGCTTTATATATCTTGTTTATGTGTTATATGTACGTACGTTTAATTAATTACATATTATCTTATTTCACAAAGACGTCATGTAAATTTTACAAAGATTAATATAATACATTTTTTTATTTTTATTAGAAAATTTATTTATATTCTACCTTGGCATTTGATACAAATAGGTAAATACTGAATAAAGAGACATGTGACTCTAATTTGATTTTCAATTTTCATATCATACTCAAGTGATCACTTCAGTATAATATGGTAATATAACGGATCATAGTGGTTTTAAAATGACACAAGATCCATCAAATCAAGTCAGATCTGTATAAATATTATACTAATAGATGTTTAGTTATGTATGTTTATATATATTTGGGGGGAAAGGGGGGGGGGGGGGAAGATAACAAAATTGACTTGAAAGTACGATAACTATCGAATGTTTTCTTTATTATTATCTACTTGATATAACGACGTCTTCAAGTATTGTGGATAAAAATATGCGTATCTCCTATCATATGCATCATTTTCTACATTTATCAATATTTCGATACAGTTTTGCTTCAAGCCCTTACCTGGTATCACATCAAGAAAAGTGACCAGGGGATTTATCCTATATATAACAGTTGATTTCAAAATTGTATATGACATTAATTGAGGTAAAATTAAGTTATTGAGATGAATTGTTTTGAAAGAATCAGGCGGGTCTTTTCAAACGATACGAATTTATATAAAGTGAATTGGGTACATATTGCGAGATAATTGACAGTCGGTTTCGAATAGGACAATGCAAACGATGTGTTACAAATGAATTAATAAATGAATATACTATTAATAGAGATAAGATAAAAATTATTGACAAAATATTGTTTTCAGAGTATCGACAGACACCCGGTTTGATGTGGGGCGAGACGGAGGAGTCGTTGTGAACGATTACACATGAACATACAGGATTGGTCTGCAACGGTGTTATCTTTTCAGCAGTTCGAGGACTAAATTAACACAGATGATATACTTCTAGGCTAAATATCTGTAAATACAAAAGACTGAAATCACAAGCCTGTGTTTGTATCGAAATTATAAATGAAATGAGTTAGAATTACAGTGTGAATTTTCTAAATTAACATGTACATTGTAGTTGAAAGATTGTTTATCATATATAAGCATGTAAACATACAGAAGTTAAATAACATGACAAAAGCTGTCAGAGGCATATCCTGTTCATTGTTGAAAACACTTTGTTTTATAATAGTTACAAATTAAATATATATCATCATTGCTCACCTGTTGCAAAACAAAGTGCTGTAATGTTTATTATTCTTACCCAGGAATTTGTCATTAGGTGCACTATACGACATATGGCAATCCATAGAAATCTCATTTTCAGATAGTCAGTACTTTTTTTAAAGTTGGGTGTCCGTTTGGCTTTGTCAAATGTATAAATTCACTGTCAAGTCCGATCGAAATTGAATCGTTTAATATGATGTCTTGTGTAGGGAGAGTTTCAAGCTCTGTATACATGCTATACGTTAAACAACCCTTTTAAAAAACTCAATGAGAATTACGCTCCTCCTATGTAACATACGCCATGTTGTTTTAGTCTTAAATATAATAGAAAAACAAAGAATAAGGGGTTTCCATCCATGACACAAAATCAGTATATGCACAGCAAAACAAAAACACACACAAAAAGCAAAGGAACAGTGATTTTATTGCAGTTCTTCATCTCAAAGTCACAGAGGGGCCCTCAACACGGAGGACAAAAACTCTCACCTCACTGCAAGTTTAAGACGGACCCTAGCACCGGTTTGAGCGGAATTCTTTGCAAAAAGAAAATCAAAAAAATCGATAGACTTTGTAAGATGTAACACCACATAATCGGGCCCGGTCAAAAAAGAACATACTGGAAAGTAGTACATATTTAAAACAAAATAGTTCCAACGCTTAAGGGTAAATCTTAAACTATGTATCATATATTTTAGTAATTAAGGTATCAGATGAAAGGTGATGGACTTGTAATCCCTGTAGAACATACAATTTACTGATAATATTAGATAATACAAAAATGTATGAATGAATTCTAAAATTGAGGGCATATATAGCCTGTTTCTTAGATATAAATTGCCTGGTTTGGTGTATCCAAAATTCCGATAACCAGTGCAGTACTGTCTGCTGTATAAATACAGGTATATTGATCCCGCTTCCACAAAATGTTTTGAAGTGAAATTTTTAATGTGGATAGGAATGAGGACCACGAATAGGTGGTGTGCGTCTCATAAATATGTATGAAATAATTTTTGCCTGACTTTAAGCAACAAAAACAATCGATCATCAGTAGTTTTTGGTAGATATGCCTCAGTTATGTCTTTTGTATCCTTCAAAGAGCTCGGCGATAATGGCAACCTTATGGTAGTCATAGACGATGGGCAATTAAGAAATTGAAAAGTGGTATACATTGAACAGTTTTTTACTGTTCTTTTTGACGTTTTTATTATGATGTTGTGGTACTGTGTATGTATACCCTGCAAAATATATCCTCTTTTATACATGTTTTAAACGAACTATAGCAATATATCTGATCTGATCTTTGTGTGTTGATTTATAAGATCTAATTGCTAATCAAATCCTAAGCTGGTGTATTACTTGTTCGAAGGAAGAAGATGTTAAGCGACTCGGCTATGAGTTTGCCCTCAGCAAAATTTACTTAAATTGTTTGGGATATTCTTTTATGGCCATTATAGTTATGTAATGTCGCATTAAGTTCTCAAACTTTGTTTTTACAACTGGTATAATTCCACTGCAAGATAATGGTTATCCCTGAGACATTTAGTTTTTTGCTTTGAACGCTTTTGCTAATGTGAAATCGGGAGTTGAAATTTTAGAAAGCAGGAAAAATGGTGTGTTTTCGTTTGTTTGCATTCCACTGTTTTTTTCTTGGTATACCTAACATTAATATAAAAATTGTCGTTAGATATTATAATGTTTTTGTTGTTAGATAATATCACAGAATTTCGAAAAATACTGTTATCTATTGGATTTAAATTTACAAAATCAGTCAGTGGTGCCTGACAATTTCAGACGTAGGTAATGGGTGATAACTTAACACTGAACAAAACAAGTATGACTATTCTTGATAAATGTTTTCTAAAATTACATGCTTTTTACAGATTAATTGCTGGTTTATCTACGACTAGCAGCACATATAACTCATAACGATTGAAAATGGTATATCGCTTGATATTAACTCGAGTTATCTAATTTCAGTATAATTGTAAACGAGCCTTCTGCGAGTTTATTATTACTATGACAAAGTACATTGTAGATGATTAACTGACAACGCTATTGCAGAAAACGAAAACGAAAAACGAAAAAAAAAAAGATAAACAACAGTATGCAAAACACCACATAGAAAACTAACGAACCTCACCAAAAACAAGGGTGATATCAGGTGCTCTGTAATGGTAAGTGAATCAAACAATGAAAATTACATAAAAATTTCAAAAATTACATGAACTTGTTGCCAGGTAGGCGAAAAGAACAAGGATATATTGTGTTTATTATATGATAATTTGTTTATATTAGCATATATGGACATTTTAGTAAAAAATACTTTATAATAGCTTTGTATATGTTAAAATTGATGGACAATTTTGACATTTATAACATATCATAGGATTCATTGTTTTAATTTAAATGTATGCGTAGTGCAAAACAAACTAAGAATTTAAAAGTAAGAACAAAAAAGAGAAATACTTGCTGATAAGGAAAATGTACATGGATTACGGATGCAGCATGACCCGGAAAAGGACTACATAACTTGCAACAAATCACACTACAGCATTATTTTTGGACAATTCTTTCATAATTTGAATGTAAGTTTTGATATTATATTATTATGAAAATCAATTCTCTTTTTTATTTAGAATTTATAAAATATTGTTATGTAAAACATTCAAGAACATTCAGATAATGGAAAACAATGAATAAAAAACAACGCTCATAATAATAGACTGAACATAACTTTTATGTTTATCAAGATATCTTTTTATGAAATTTGAAAATGAGTAAACTAATGTTGGTCCCTAATTGATGAACTGCGATTCATCCCAAACAAATTTTTCGATGTTGATTAAAAATAATCTGAATGCGAATGAGATTGAACGTTGTACCATTTATTTCGTTTAATCTAATATCAGTATTTTAAATGGAATTATTATACAGATATGTGTATAAAATCCGTCTTTTGAAAGACGCAATGGCAAAAAAACGACAGAAAGATGAACAAAGAATACTGAAGACTGAGAAAAACGAACCCTGCCAAAAAGTGGAGGTGACCACAGATGTTTTGGAAGGGCTAGCAGATACTATTTCACACGTGGCACCCGTAATTAGTGATAAGAATAATTCTACATTATCTTAACATATATTTTCCAAAGTGAATTTTAGTTCTAAAAAGGCTAACATTTTTTTTATAAGATGTATTTTATTTTTAAATTGTAAATCTAAAACGAACTTTGATATTCTTTCAGTACAGGGATTCTATTACATATACAACTGTGGTCAGATTCTACAATAATGAACGTCTTGAGCTGCCTTGTCATGATTTCAGCGACAGTTCATAATATTTGTGCCTCAGTTTGGTAAGTAACATATTGCATTAACGCAAAAATAAGTGAACTAGTATTACGCCATATGCTCAGCCCGATTACTTTCGTTAGGAACGAAGACTTTTTTGACGGGCATCCATTTGATTGTATCAAATGTTAATATGCAACAATGTCCAATCGAAAGTGTTCCTTTCAATCCGACGCCTCGTTATAGAGAGTTCCATAATCACTGAACGTAAAGTAACCGAACCAATAATATATTTTGGTTTCATATACAACCTCTTTTTAAGCTAAATTTCTGTCCCTACCAAAAATCTCATCTTTTTTCCTACATCAATACATCAATTCAAACTTCCCAGTACACGCTGTTTTCATTAACCTAGCAATGGACTTTATTCTGTCTTCATTTATATGCGTGAAGTATTTGCCACTATCCGTTCATGAATTTGATGAGACTGTCGTACAAGTGAAAGGTTCAGCGCTATAAAACCAGGTTCAATCCACCATTTTGTACATAAGAAAATGCCTGTACCAAGTCAAGAATATGACAGTTATCCATTCGTTTGATGTGTTTGAGCTTTTGATTTTTGCCATTTTATTAGGACTTATATCTAGATATTGACTATGAGGGTCGGTTGAAAACAAAACTTTACGACAAAAGAGATGATTTCTGCTTCCCAATTGTGAATTTTCATTTTGTAGAGCAAGAGTTCCAAATGGTGAAGTTGAAATCATCACTTTGTAAATTTTACGGACGCCATCACGGGTTGGTTGACCGTTGTTAAATATCCGTTTCACAGATGATATCGGATATGTTCCTTATGTCGTAACTACAATCCCGTTCCCTTATCACGAATGTGACCTACCGCGTTAGACTATTTACCGGCTTTGTAATAACATGAGCAACGCGACGGATGCCGCGTGTTGAGCAGGATCTGCTTAACCTTCCGGGGCACCCGAGATCACCCCCAGTTTTTGATGGGGTTCATGTTGCTGTTGTTCCCCTATTTGTGACATTTTTACCTATTGTGTCTGTTTGTTTTGTTCACACATCCTTGTCAATATAATGGAATTTGATGCAACTGTCATACAAGTGAGAGGTTTAGCGCTTTAAAACCAGGTTTAATCCACCATTTTCTACATTTGAAAATGCCTGTACCAAGTCAGGAATATGACAGTTGTTGTCCATTCGTTTGATGTGTTTTGTCATTTGATTTTGCCATGTGATTAGGGACTTTCCGATTGAATTTTCCTCGGAGTTCAGTATTTTTGTGATTTTACTTTTTTCATCAAACATCATTTAAGCACATTAAATTCTACACTTTTATATAAACATGTTTATACATTTTGTATATGGTGGTTATCAAAATGAAAACCATATAATAACATCGTCTCATAACAATGCAATAAGAGATTTTTGATGTCTGAGTAAATCAGTTATATATGTATATCCATTCTGTTACATCTGGTGATCAGTTTATTTGGCAATCGCCAATGGCAGTCAGCAGGGTTTAAGAACATCCTGCTAGTCAAATGCGTTTTGCTAAAATATATTTTTTCACTTTTTTGGTCTTTTGGAAAATGTTGTTTGTGCTTTATTTAGACCCCTCTACCAAGAAATTTGTTTTGCATGCACACGTATAAAAATTGCGGTTTTTATTCAACGCAATCATAGGTTTGAACGTTGTTTTCAATTTAGACTTGTATATATATATATGTATTTATATATATATATATATATGTAAGTCTTAAGATTTGCACAACGGCACTAATACAAGGTGGTAATATACAAAGATGATGTTATAAAATCGTGTTGACAAATATTTCGGCTAACAAAATAGCTTTCGTCAGTGTCAATAATTTTAACTAAGTGTTATATACATACTCACATTTGTTGTACGAAAATGCTACCATTTTCCGTCCCGCCTGTATATTTGGCAGAAGCATTCTTCTTATTTGTAAATTATTGGCTGTTCATTTGTATTGTCTGAGGGTTACTGATGAAGGTTAATCCAGGTACTAACGCTTAGTTTTTTTAATTTATTTTAGTTTTTTTTTTTTCATTTTCAAACTTTTTGTAACTTAATAACATTTGTATTTTAGCAATTCTTCTAACAAGGAAAAGGTCGGACGTGTCGTGTTTGGTGAGGCAAGTGGGGAGCCAGCAGACGGACAGCTTGCAGTTGCATTTACAATTATAAACAGAATGAACCACATGAGCTACCCTAATACGCTAAATGGGGTATTGTATCAAACACATACGTCAGGTGGGAAGACACGCCATCTCTATAAAACACTAGATAACCCTGATCATGACGAAAGATGGGAAGCTGCTAAACATCATAAAGCAATAGAACATGCTGCGTATGAAGCTGCCATTACTGCAGCTGGGCATGCGCTCTGTGCAACTGGTTTTGATCCCATGAGTTGCGGTCCGGTAACTTTCTGTGCACTAAATCCATGTTCCTCTACTAGCAGTAACAGGTATTGGTGTGTGGCCGAAAAAAGAAAGATTGGAAAACATTGGTTTGCATGCATCGAAAAACATTTTGGACAATGTTGAATAATTGAAATTTCGGACAGTTTTATCCTGTTGTTGTTGGGTTTTATTTAATTTCAGATCCAATGTGTATAAACCGTTTAACGTGAGGGTACCCAAATTCCTCGTATTTTGACATTTTTTTCACCTACGTTTATTTATGATCCAGACAAAAGTTTTCATTCTGGGTTTATTTTGCAGATGTCTCCTTATTCACTATATAGTTCCACCAATTTGATTTTGAATCCATATATAATCATAGAAAAATGAGTTTGAACCGACCTCCAAACAATTCATGACTTTGTAATGCGGAGTTCCCAAATTGCATCCATGCTTAAATTCACGTCCTTAAAAATCGTATAACAGATGTTTTGTTTCATTTCTTCCAATATTTAGAACAATTTGACATTAGTCCATGCTTAATATTAATTTTTTAAGAAATGGATGCTTGTAACATATTTTATTTGCTCATTTTAAAAGACGGCTTTTATGTGGACGTCGCATGGTGACGTTTCCATAGATTTCATTTTCTTCAGTGAATACTTCCTTCATCTGTTGATACATACTGTGAAAGTTTTGTGCATATCTACATATAATTAGCTATGTTGGAAGACGTGCATTATTTCAAATCATAAAAATAAAACTTGTTTAGTCTCCGCTGCTTTTTTTTTTTTTTTTTTCTAAATTGGTGCAATTTGGGTACTCGATATAATTTGGATATTGTGAGGTTAGCATTGTAAAATTGTGAAATCCACAGTTCTATCAATATTAAAATTATCATTTTTGTACATATTCATTTCTACATATATATGTATCAGATATATTTTTTCTTGTATTTGCGTTTGTTCAAAAATTCCTACAATAAAAAACTTACCTCATATTATATATTAATGGTAAAATATGCGTTTAATATTTGCACTACAATATCGTTCACATATAGTTTAAGATGGCGCTAGGTTATTGGAACTTTGTGCCTATATACATCATTTTGTTCAAATTTAAATGTAAGGGAATCAAATTGATGAGTATACATTAGGGATAATCGTTAATTTTAGTTTAAAATCGGCAGTAAAAAAAAAGAATGTTTAAGTAATTTCTTTACATTGAAATTGTAGGGGAAAATGGTGTTGTTATTATTTTCAAATCAAAGTAACAAAAAATTTCATGTAATATTCTACTCATATTGCCCTGTAAATAAGTTGAAATACAGCTTAGTTTATCAACCAATATATGAAATGTAGGGCACGATGGGTTGAGAGATATATTTCACTTAAATTAAGAAGGAAATGGAAGAACATTTTGTTCAATTTGGAAAAAAATCTTCTTGAACCACATCCAAATTTTCATGGTTATCACTACTAATGATACCTCTCAAACTAATTAGACTTAACAGTAATTGATTACAAATTTGATAACTAGACGTTCATCTGTCGTCATTACAATTGATGAGCTTGCCCATAAATTTAAGATAAATGAAACACTGCATCTGTTTTCGACATACAGCAAATATTCCGATATCTTTTAATAAATCAAACATTCAGTGTTGACATTTATATTTTTACGACAACAAAACTTTTCTGTATAGTACTTCGTTTCTGAGCACCTAGCGCGAAATTTCATATCACCGAGAACTTTGATTTGATATTTTTAACGTTCGTGGCAATGCTCTTGCTTTTTATACCAGAAAAGGATAACATGAATCACCAATAATAACCTGATACTGCATCAGACGATATCAACTACCAACCCATAACTCCACTACAAACAGTCTCACAAAAAAGATAAACAAAAACGACACACCACATGGTCCAGATTGCCTTACTTGGAACAAGAACAAAATGTGGAGATGTCAAACCAGTTTAACGTACGTATAAAAGGTCTTTTTTATCTTTAAAAGAGGGACGAAAGAAACCAGATGGACAGTCAAACTCATAGATCGAAAACAAACTGACAACGCCATGGCCAAAAATAAAAAGAAAAATAGACAAATAATAGTACAGATGACACAACATAGAAAATTAAAGACTAAGCAACACGAACCCCACCAAAAACTGGGGGTGATCTCAGGTGCTCCAAGAGGGTAAGCAGATCCTGCTCCTCATGTGGCACTCGTCGAGGTGTTTATGTTATTACAAATCCGGTAAATAGTCTAATTCGGTAGGTCACATTCGTGGAAAGGAAAGGGTATTGTAGTTAAGACATAAGGAACATATCCGATATCATCTGTGAAACGGTTATTCCATAACGGTCAACCAACTTGTGTTTAAATCATGTGTCGTTAACTAAAACATGCAATAAATAACATGAACAGATTATGTTTATTTAATGATAAAAAATTGCATATACAACTATGTAACATATATACAATATTGACCCGGTTATAATGTTAATGTTATATCCAAATATAGATATACAGAGTGTGATATAAGATTCATTTGACTGTGATGGTATTTTAAGGATCATTTTTGATTATTCTATATGGTATGATTATATTCCTAGAAAGGCTGTATAATGGTTAAAAAGTATAATAGAATAGAGAATGGAAACGGGTAATGTGTCAAAGAGAAAGCAACCCAAACAAAGAGCAGAAAACAGCCCCAGACCACCAATGGGTCTTCAAAGCAGCGAAAAAACCTCGTCCCCCCTCCCCTCCCGAAGGCGGACTTCAGCTGGCCCTTAAACAATAATATAAACTAGTTCAGCGTATTTGACGCGGTACTCAACCCAAAAACATACAAATGAACCAACATTATAAAAATGATCAAAAACAAAATTACGAACAAAACAGAAAACAATAACAACAAAGAGTAAAAACATATACACAATATACACAATGATTTTAACATATATCTTAATTTGGATCCTAGAATATTTGAACAACATATATTGAATGAAATTGTTCAGAGCAATATGTACAGTAGTTATAATATTGCGTTACGATACAACTCACTTCGAACGAAGTGTGACCATTCGAGTATTGCGGGTCCTTCTGTATGAATTTTAACGATCTCATCTGTACATAAAACATTAACATTTGGATTTTCTAGAAATAATAATATATTAAGTAACAATCACCCATGAAGACACTTTACCCTAAAAGCCTAAACACATCATCCGATTTTGTAAATATTAATTATGAACTTATTCATATGCAAAAAAAGAATCGATCCTTGCTAAGGGGAACAACTCAAATTATATTATGTTCATAGTATCTAACACGGTAGAAACATAACTGTTCATAAAATGGTGAATCATTTGAAACAGTAGGGTTTATTATCGATAGACATATTTTTCATTGGCAATATTTGGCACAACTATTTGATATGCTTTTAATACTATTATTCTTTGACTACGGATGAATCTTATTTAAACGAAACGAGCGTCTGGCGTAATGAATTATAATCCTGGTATTGTTGATGAGTTTTTGTTTTTGTTTAACTTCGAATATTTTAATGAATTAAAACATAATTATCAAAGATATAATATTTATTGTGCAGCTTTGAACATTTTTGGCCATACACCTGTCGATACTTATATGCTGGCAAAGGTTATTCCATTCTCGAAGATTTATAAATACGTCTTGAAAATTAATCTATTTAATATGTGCTTACTGTTTTTTTTTTTTTAAATCTATGCCACATGCTTTATTTATTAGTTGAAACATGGAAGTATTGTATTGACAGGAACTCCAACGAAAAGTTATGATATTCACATCCCCACTGATTTCTTTAGAAAATATAGGTTCCGACTTAATTTGTCAAGTACATGATCACTCCTGTGATTGTTATCAGTGATACCGCCTTCGCTTGTTCCGTTAACTGAATCTACTCTTATCTCTTATCAAGGTATTTTATATCGAACGTATTATCTACCTTCCAATGTGAATAAACACGGAAACTCCCGTGGTTATTTGTAGATTGCTACATGAATGACGACACCTGTTCACTTTTAATTAACGAATGCAAAAGCCGAAACGATATAAACTCTGTTAGCTCGGAATGAAGTTTACTTCTAAACCAGTCGTACCTGCGTGTTAACATATCATATACATATCTTAAATTTTGACTGGCCAAGTTAAATTCTTACAGGTTTTATGACTGTTCCAACCGTCCTTTGGACAAAAGTCAAGTTTTGCCATATTTGGTTGGTTCTATAACTGTTTTAATATCTGCCCAAAGAAAATGTCTATAACAGAAGTTAATTGGGATGAAATTTGGTTCGAAACTATGCTTACTGCAAGTAAACATCGACCAAAGCTGTCACAAAGATAACTTTTCGTGTAGTCTTTTACACACGGTAGTGAACATCCGGTTATTTCTGTATATTCCGTAATGACAAAGTTCCAAAAAGTTTGAATGAACTCTTGCATCGATATGGCATGTCGAAATAATTAAGAGATACTTGATGGTTTTGCAGCATAACAATATAACCGTTTGAAGTCGGTTTGTTGGAGTTCCTGTTAATATAATACTTTCATTTGAACTTTGGTAGATTGTTGTCTCATTGGAAATCCTACTACTCCTATCTCCTTATTTTTATACTTATTTTGAACTTAATGCCAATAACTAGTACTACCTTTTGATCTGTACTTTGTGTTTTAGTCTTTTTATTGTGCTTCCCGCTAATCTGGCGAGACAAGCCCTTCCCATCGGATTTCTGCAGTTTTTTTCTAATGTGCTTTTCAAAGGTGAGAGGGTTGTGCGCTCAAAAAAACATCCTTTATCATACTTCTTTCCTTACATAGATATAAGAAAATGTGGTATGAGGGCCAATGAGACAACTCTCCATCCAAGTCAAAATTTATAAAAGTAAACCATACATGCCTGTCCTAAGTCGGACCCCTGTAATTCAGCGGTAACCGTCAGTAAGTGTTTGTGATATTGGTTTTTTTAATTATAATTTTGAGCATAAATCAGGTCGTTAGTTTTTTCTTTGAATTGTTTTATGTTTTGTCATGCCGGTAAATTGTATAGCTTACAATACGGTATGGAATTTTATCATTGTTAAAGGGCATACGGTGCTATTAATCTGTTTAATAAAGTTAATGATTTTTTCCGTAGTGATTTTTATTACACAGTACTGTGTAGAATTTATGTAAATTCGCTAAACGAGATGTAAAAGGGAAGGTTTGAGTTTTCGTGTATTCAAGCTATGCCTTACAGCAGGAAATGTGTCTATCACAAGTCAGGAACCTCATAAATGGTTGTCTTTATGTATTTAAATGTTTTATTGTTTCTTGTTTGTTTTTGTATTGGTTCGTATTTTCTTGTTAGTTTTTCGTCCTGATCATGCACGAAATATTTGCTACTGGACGTTAAGCAACCAACAATCAATCAATCCTGTTTGCTTTGTTTTTGTTTGTTTTTGTTTTGTTTTGTTTTTGTTTTGTTTTTAACTTATATATATTTATTTTTAATATTTATTAGAAATGAAATCTGTAAATTATAACAGGTTTTTTAATATATGCAACACCATTATAAACTGGGAATTATTTACGGTTTGAAATATTGAACAGACACTACTGTCTATTGTTGAACTTAAATTGTGTGTTTGTTTCGTTTACAAGCTGTGTCTAATATATATATCTGATTTGTGTTGTTAAAATGCTACAACTACTGAATGTACTACTATTGCTTGTTTTAAATATACCAGTACAATTGTTATATTCCTGTAAAATCACTGTGAAATTATATCTCGGATTGGCATTTTAAAACCTTTCTGCAGTAAACGATTATTATTAAAACCTTCAAGCAAGTGAATTGTAAAGAATCTAGACGATAGCGTACGTGTAAAAGTCTTTTGATTTGTCGAATATCATATAAATATGAAAATAGAATAATACCATATCGTAGCGCTGATTATTGGCCTAGTGGTGTTTATGAGGATTTACATTCGACCATGTTTAGGAGTAATTATTACACGGTGGTGGTTATTAAAAATTACTAGAAATCAAATCTAATATGATCCATCGTACTCACATTTTCGGAAACTTATGTCTGGTCAGTAGTGATTAAAACTTAGTAAGTTTAGTTTTGGTAAACAAACAACAGTAGACTATTTCACCGTATACAACACATTTTTTATTAATCAGTTTTATTTTCGATCAGGATTACAGTTATGACAATGCTGTGTCTCACTTTGTGAAACATTGTCATAGATTTATGAATATTTCATTATGAATGTTCTAGTATCACTGCTCTTCGAACTTTGATTTTATAACAATTAAAGAGCGTCCCGCCTCCTTTAATGGAGTTTTGTCACATATGATGTGTTCACAGTTCTTAAGTAGTATTAAAAAGGGAACTGCTGTGTTTTAGAAAACTCAACTATGAGTAAAACCCTCACCAACTGATTTTTACATGTTATTCTAATGTTGTTTTATGACACCTCTGTCCAATGTTTGGGTAGGGTTAAGTTCTGACGAGTATGTTAACATAGTCACATTCCGACTGTGACTGTCTCAATCTAGGAACCTGTAATTCATTGCATATCGTTGTTTCCTGTCTGTTTGTTATATTTTTTTTCATTGTTGAAGTACAAACAAGGCGGTTGGTTTTCACTTTTGATATATTTAACAATTTGTCATATCGAGACCCTTTTTCGCTTTAAAATCCTGAACATAATTAAGATAATAATTAAGTACACAGGTTTCGATCCATGTAATGTGATAAACAAATGATTTACTAAATACAAATATTAAAATATCCTCAATACTCTTATATGGGTGAGCTAGTCCATATGCAATAAATGACATATATTGTATGAACAAGCCTAATATAGGAAAAATGACAATGGAGTATTTATGCATCCTTGGCTTTCCAATGTTTAGGTTTAAGCGTTCCTGATTAAGGTAAATCAAGAAAAGTTCTTTAGACTCACGAAATGTGTATAATTTAATTTTCACTTTCAAGCATTTATCACAAATTATGAACACGGAAGATCACTACTGGAAGTTATTAACTCTTTTGCAGTCTGATTGAACTGATATACTAAAGCTAGTTATCTCTGACAAAATAGTTTTTGATTTTTAAAAATGTGTTTGTATTGTGAAATTCATCATGAATTAAAGATTACATTCCGAACGTAAGACGCACTTGTTTTGTTGTTAATTACGAATAAATATGTACAACTGTAAACATGCAGAAGTAAGATAACATGACACAAACTGTCAGAGGTCATATCAATATATCTTATTCAAGGTGGAAAATTTCAAAATAACATAAAAGTTGCACAAATAATAAGTGTGGTCATTACTCACCTGGTGTAATGAAATGATACTAGAAACTGGAGTTATATTATGTTTCATATCGCATGTTAGTAAATGAAAATAAGAGTTTATATATTTCGTGCGTTCGAAGCACTTGTTCGATGAACAATCTTCATCTTGAACGCTCAAACTTAAACATTTGAATCGTGCGTTCGAAGCGCTTGTTCGATGAACAATCTCTATCTTGAACGCTCAAACTTAAACATTTGAAAGCAGTACCTGTAACTGTTAGGAGCTATAAGACAAAAATGCCTAAAATGTATAGCCAAATCCCTGTCCCGAGTCAGGAATATCTAGCCTTTGTTAGTCTTGTGTTTTGTTTTTTTTACATTTTGGTTCAAATGTATGTTTCGGAGTTTAGTATGGCATCCATTTCGCTAAAATAATATACATTTTTGTTTCGGGGCCAGCCGAAGCCCGCCTCCGCATGTGGGATTTTCTCTATGCATTGAAGAACCAGTGGTGGCCATGGGCTGTTTTCTGCTCTTTGGTCGGGTTGTTGTCTCTTTGACATATTCCCCGTTTCCATTCTCTATTCTATTCATCAGAGGCCATTTTTGACAGAGGGAATTTTGAATCTTAGTTTTATGCTGATTCTTTACTGTATCAACGTTGAACTAGTCAGTTCTTGATTTATTTCCTTCTTCTAGGGCGCTTTCTGTTGATGGCAGGCCTTTGACAATCTCTGTCTAAGTCGCAACTTGTCTAAATTCAGAGAGACTATTCAAGCTAAACATATTATACAGTTAGTGATTCATCTACTCTTGACCTTTATGTGTCTTTTTGTTTTCGTCGTTGTTTTCAGATTGTGAAATGAAGATTTAACTTCCATATTCCATAGCATCTATTATTTACTATCAATAAAATCATGTGAAAAATCAAATCCTTACATTTTTATTTAACAATTCGATTCGTTAGTAATTTAAGTAACCCGACGAGGATTTCGGGGAAATAATTTTACTTCTGTTTAAACAAGAAACAAATGCATATCAAAGATCATGATATATAACTTTAAAAATGTACTCACAAAAATAGCGAACTGCAAGGTAAATTAATGAGGGGGAGTCATTTTATTTGTCAAGCAGAATAAAAAACAAAGATGTACAAAAACAGGACGAATGAAAGTTTCAATTCACAACGATATTCAAGAAATCTAGCTGATATTGAACATCATCTCTTTTTGACGAAACTACAATTTTCAATTTTCAACTCATAGATTAATTTGGTCTATTGCTCAATCGGGGTATCATCGTTATGTCTTCAAATTAATCCAAAAACACTCTACAAGCAATACATCTAGTTGTAATGCTAGCCATTGAAGGGCACGAACTTAAATTAAGTTAATGCGGGCCACGTGCTATCTGGGGTTACCTTGCTGCAGAAAAAAAAGGCTTCTGTTTGAATAGATATTCACAGTTATTGGTTTGTCCCAGTATACGCGGGGTACTTTCCACTGATACAGGGCAATCACATAGATGAATTAACGGGATATGACAAACGTTGGATGCTTATATGCAGGATGTCGCCCTTAAACGATGCATTGGTTAGATATCGCCACCTGTATGCGTTTACCTAGTGCAAAATGTGTTCATTTGCGTGGCACAAAGTACATTGCAATGTGGTAAAAGAGCGTTGGCTGTCCCTTTTAGGAAACTTTGGCGTAATTGCATTACGAATGTCTATAAAAGATTCCAGAAGGCAAAATGTATCTAAATGAGACATACACAAAAAAAGAGACCTCAAGTATTTTTTTTACAATACCTGTTTGATATATAGAGCATTCGATGTACTAGTAAGAGTAATTGACAATGCCTCGAACGTGACGATACTTTAAAGGTATCAAACTTTTAAAACGAAAATTAAAAATAAATTTGGTTTTAGATTATCCCTATATAAAACAATAAAACCATTTAAATTCAAACAGAAAAAAACAATCGTGTATCGTGTTGATTTGTTTAGTAAACATGCCTGCTATTACTAACATACGAATTGCCGAAAAGACTCGAGAAATATTACACACGATTAAAAAACAACCAATGAAGCCTTTGCATATGTAATTATTTTTAATTTACGACACAGTAAAAATTATACTAGGTAGACTTGAAAAAAACAACACCTCATTGGTTCATAAAAGAAAATTTATAAAGTTTAAAATTACATCAAGCATTGGTAGAATATCTCAATAACTTAGAGACAGGTGAGCAAATAAGAAAATGATGTAATGTCGGGATGATGTACATGTAATGATTTATCATGTAAATTTAAATGCGCACTTTGGTAATTGTTGTTCGAACAATTTTAATGGATAATGTTTACATTTTATACCATACATCACCTACGTACCAATATTTGGATTAAAAAACATGTGAACTACAAAAAAAACTAAATAGAAAACAAGAAAAACAAATGAAAAACAAATTGCCAAGAGGAGAATACGGATACAGTATGACCTTGATGGAGTATATATATAAGTTGAAACGAATCATATTAAAATATCATTTGTGGACAGTGCTTGGTATATTTTAAAGGTAAGTCTCATCTTCGGTATGTCATATCTATTTTGATATTTCAATTTTATAAGAAAAATATTTTCATCTTTAATAAGTTTTGTTAAACCTGAAAGGTAAGACAAACATTACCACTCCTTAAATTAAAAGAAATAAATAAAATTTTATTTTAAAGGAAAAGTGTTTTCAATTTCATGGATTCTACTTGATTTAGATATCACATTATTCATTTTAAGGAAACGATCGATATACCCTGTCAGCAGTACTAGTGCATTTACAACTGTGATCAGCCTCTGTTATCATGAAGCATTTATTGAGCTGCCTAATAATTATTGTGACTGTTCATGGCATGTGTGCTTCATTATGGTAAGCTTCATATTTCTTGGTAGATAGATATGTTTACCTTGTCTCCCCCATGCAACTCAATTCACTTAGACGATGGACATCCATTTTGATTTGCGAAATTTAAAAACACAACCACGTCCAATCAGAAAAGGCATTTTCAATCAGATACTTCGCGTATGAATGATACAGATTTTGGATTCGATCAAGAAGATCAGAACACAGTTTTACAGACATTTTCATAAAAGTTGAACATGTATGACCCATTGACATGTAAATTCATACCCATTGATATGTTACCGCCATGCAATTGCATCCAATTGAGAGGTTTAGCTAGCTATGAAACCAGGTTTAATCCACCATTATCTACATAAGGAAATGTCTGTACCAAGTCAGGAGTATGACACATGTTTTCAATTCGTTGGATGTGTTCGAGCTTTTGATTTTGCTATTTGAGGAGGGAATTTCTGTTTTGAATTTTTCTTATTTTACTTTTTTTTATATTTGACATTCGAAAACAGTGACCCATACCATCGGCACGACTGTGTATATATAAAGGAAGAGACCCCCCCCCCCCCCCGTGGTTTGGATGGTGTCTCTGTTTTGTCAAAAAACTACTAAACACATTTTTGTCACATAAATGTAAGAAATAAACCAATAAAAAAAATTACATTGTAGCACTACGACCAACAAGGAAAAGGTTGGGCGTGTTGTGTTTGGTGAAGCGAGTGGGGAATCAGCCAGTGGACAGCTAGAGGTTGCATATACGATTGTTAACAGAATAAGTCATGCCGGATTCCCAAATTCATTAAATGGAGTTGTAGAGCAGACATATACATCGGGAGGTAAAACGTATCATCATTATAACACATTAGATAATTCTGGTCATGACCAAAGATGGACAGCAGCGAAAAAAACAGGTGCAAGAGAGCATGCAGCGTATAATTCCGCAATAACTCAAGCCGGGCATGCACTCTGTGCGACAAAGTCTGATCCTATGAGTTGCGGCCCGGTCAATTTCTGTGCCACAAATCCGTGTGCCTCTACTAACAGTAATAAGTATTGGTGTGTGACCGAGAAAAAAAAGATCGGATCTCATTGGTTTACTTGTATCAAGAAAAAAACAGGAAAATGCTGAATTTTGAAATAAAAAATTGTCTTATCTTGAGTTTCAAATGTGAGATAAATTATAAAAAAAAAATATCTCACACAAAGCCATGCATTTATCATTGATCATTCTAAACATGATCACATATCACTTTCTATGTAAATCAGATATCAATGTTTGTTTAATAAAATGGTTTATTCTGTGTTTTTTTGTTTTAAAATTACCCGTTTTGCTATTCCCTTGCCATTTAGAGACATCTTGATTTGCTACATAACTTATACTGTTATTCATTATCTAACTTATTTCAAGTACATATATTATATTTTGACTGATCAAAGTTATTTTTGCAGGTTTTATGACTGCTCCAACCTTTCCTTTGACAAACATTAAGTTTACCTTAAAAGCAAATTTGGTTAGTCCAATGACTGTTTTAATCTTAGTCCATTACTGACTTTAATTCGGGATTAAGTTAACTTCTAAACCAGTCTACCTGCGTGGAAACATCTCACATTAAATTTTGACTGATCAAGTTTATTTCTTACATGTTTTATGACTGTTTAAACCGTCCCTTGGACAAAAGTCAAGTTTTGCCTTAAAAACATATTTGATTAGTCCGATAACTGTTTTGATATGTGCCCAACGAAAGACCATGACGGATATTAACTCGGGATGAAATCGGCTTCGAAACCAGGTTTCCTACAAGCTAATATGAACAATAACTGTTATAAAGCTAACGTTTTGTGCAGTCTTTTACACACAGAAGTGAACATCCGGTTAGTTCTGTATACTTCGTAAAGACAAAGTTCCAAAAAATGTGATTGCACTCATGCATCGATATGAGATGTCCAGATAATCAACAGATACTTTAGGATTTTGCAGCATACCACTATACTCGTGTGAAGTCGGTTTGTTGGAGTTCCTGTGAATATGATACTTCCATGGTTGAAATGAGCTTTGAACTAAATGTCTGTAACTAGTAACACCTATTGATATGTAACTTTGTGTTTTAGTCTTTTTATTGTTCTTCGTGTATATCTGGTGAGACAAGCCCTTCCCACCGGATTTCTATAGTTTTTTCTATAGTGCTATTCCAAGGCGAGGAAATTGTGCGCTCAAAAAACATCTTTTACACAACTTCATTCTTTATATACCTGTCCTAAATCTGAATCCTGTTACAAAATTTTAATACTGGTACCTATGCTGCTGATGTGTGTTTCTCCCCGAGGGTATCACCAGCCCAGTAGTCAGCACTCTTCTGTGTTGACATGAATCATCATTGATATGGTCATATTTATAAATTAACTGTTGATAAAACTTTGAATTTTCGAAATACTAATAATTTTCAAACCCAAGAATAGATTGCATTAGCTGTATTTCACAAAACTTTTGGGGAATTTTGGGTCCTCATTGCTCTACAACTTCGTTCATTATTTTGCCGTTTTAACTTTTTTATTCGAAAATCACTGATGAGTCTTTTGTAGACGCGCGGCGTACAAACTATAACCCAGGTATCTATGTTGAGTTTATTCAATAGTTGTTGCTGGTAAGTGTTTTTCATATTGGTTTTTCATTTATCATTTTTAGCATTAATCGGTCCGTTAGTTTTCTCTTTGAATAGTTTTATGTTTTGTCATTCCGATGAATTGTATAGCTTACTATATGCGGTTTTGATTTTCACCATTGCTCAAGGGAGTCCAGTGATATACATTTATATATACCTGTTTAATAAAGTTGATGGTGTTTCCTGCAGTGATATTGATTACACAGTACTGTATTTAAGTTCTATAAATCCACTAATAGATATGTTAAAGGGGGTGTTTGAGTAGCCATAAAAACTAGCTAAGCCTTACAGCATGAACAATTTGTCTGTAACAAGTCAGGAACCTCACAAATTGTTGTCTCTCTGTATTTAAATGTTTGCTGGTTTCTTGTTTTGTATTGATTTGTTTTGTTTTGTTTTGTTTTGTTTTGTTTTGTTTTGTTTTGTTTTGTTTTGTTTTGTTTTGTTTTGTTTTGTTTTGTTTTGTTTTGTTTTGCTTTGTTTTGTTTTGTTTGTTTGTTGGTTTTTTTTTTCGTTTTGTTGCTGTTTTTTTATATCGCTTAATTCTGTAATATATCAAGGCTTTGTGATATATGCAACACTGTTATAGACTTGGGATGATTAAGTGTTTGACATATTGAACAGACACTGGCAACTGTGTATTGTTGAACTTAAATTGTGTGTTTGTTTTGTTTTGCAGCTGTTTCTATTATTTATATCTAATAACTGTTACAAAACTAATAAAATGCAACATCTACTACTTTTCCTTGTTTTAAATCGACCAGTAAAATCGTTATATTCCTTTAAAATCACAGCCAAATGATATCTCGGATTGGCTTTTAAAAACCTTTCTGCAGCAAACGATTATTAATAAAACCTTTAAGTAGAATTTTAAAAATCTATACGATAACGTACAAGTAAAACGTCTTTAGATTTCTCGAATATCAATTTAATATAAAAATAGTACAATACAAAATCATAGCACTGTCTATTTGTCTAGTATTGTCTACGAGAATTTGCATTCGTTTAAGAGGGGGGATTAGTAGTTATTTTAACCCAGTGGTGGATATACAAAATGACAAGAAATCAAATCATCTTATTTCATCCTTCGTACTCACATTTCGAGACTTATTTCTGGTCTGTAGTGATTCAAACGAAGTAAGTTAATTTTGGTAAAACATACTACAGTGTGCAGTTTTTCACCGTAGACGACTCATTCTTAATTTGTAAGTAAGTTTTATTTTCAATCCGAATGATGTCAATACTGTTGCTCCTTTTGTGGTATTTTCAACATTGTCATAGATTAATATGTAATGATAAATTTTCTGGTAACCTTGTTTTGAAGTTTCCAGCCTTCATAAGTTTAGAGATGCAATATATGATGTGTTTACAGCTCGTCTGAAAGCGTGAACTGACTATTTTAGAAAATTAAAATATCAGCAAAGCTCTTTCCAACTGATGTTTTACATTGTACGCTTCACACATCTGCCCAACGTTGAAGTTCTAATAAACATGTTGACTGTAGCCACATTTAGACTATGGCTATCTCAATCTATGCACCGAAGTATAGTCTCAGTACAAATCAGGCGGTTGGTTTTTACTTTTGATATATTAAACAATTTGTCATATCGAGACCCTTTATCGCTTTAAAATCATAAATATAAATTAATAATTTACTACATATGTTTCTATCCATGTAATATGATAAACAAATGTTTTATTTATACAAATATTAATATATCCTTAATACTCTTATATTGTTGAGCTTATCGCACAAAGTCTAGACCATATGTACTGTAGGACTTATATTGTATGAACAAGTCTAATATACGAAAAATGATGATCAAATATTTAGGTTGCACTTTGTAAATACAGCTGTTTCGCAAACCATCCCTTTTTTGGGAAGATATATAATATTTTTAGATATTTTATTTTGTTTACGTACTGGTACCCAGATATGATTTCTATGTTTCATCTCATAGAGACATGACTTGGGAATGTTACCAGTATATATACACATGGTTGCGGGAAATTTTGAATTCTGAGGGTCACCCAAAGTAAAGGTAGGTTAGTACAGAATTTAAGTATCAGTTTAAACTCTTAGAAGTTCGGAGCATATAAATGTTGAAAATATGCCGCACAGTCCTATGTTTTGACCTTTGAATAAAATCAACTTTCCATTCTAGGATTTAATTTTTCACGAAACGTCATAGTAAAAGTGGCACAGTTTAGCCGTAAAGGGAGTTCCAATGGGAAATTGCATTGTCTATATTTACAGATATGCAACCTATATTGGGTGAAAAAAGAGAATATATAGAATTTCACCAAATCTGGTTCATCTCAGAGATTTTAATGAAATTAAGATTGAGAAAATCC